CTGATTTGCTCTTTCACTTGCGTTTGACTGAGGATGGTACGCCGTGGTCAAGCGTTGAGTTATTCCTGTTAGCTTGCAGAAAGTTTGCCAAAAGGTTCCCATCCAGTCACTGCCTCTATCACTTGTCAAATAACGTGGAAAGCCAAAGTAACGATAATATCGGTCGACAAAAACTTTAGCGCTTGGTGCAGCCTCCATTGTCTTTGTACCAAATAGAAAAACGTCTTTAGATAGCCGATCTGTTATAACCATTATATTTGTACAATCTTGAGAAGGTGGCATATCAGTAATAAAATCAATTGTCAGCTCGCTTCCTATTCGGTCAGGAATTGGCAGTGATCGAAGAAACCCAGCCTTCGCCTCTCGCCATACTGTCGTACGACCACAGACATCACAATTCCGTATAAAACGACGGACCGATTCCCTCATCTTTGGCCAGAACCATCGCCTTAAAAGTATGCCAATCATTGTATCTTTGCCCGGGTGACCTGCTAGGTAGCTATCGTGTGTCCGCTGCATTATCGCCGTTCGGAGTGGCTCATAATCGGGAACCCAAATTCGATTTTCCCTTCCACGAAGAACGCTATCTGCGGCAACCGTACACTCTGCAATGTTAGCGGTTAATTTCTGAGCGATATTTGGTGGGAAACTTCTCTCTCCGTGCTGGACAGCATCTCGCGCTCGTCGCCAATCATTATCGTAAATGACTCCTTGATTCCATAATGTTTGAATCTCATCGTCGTCAGATATTCTCGCTGTCGCTGCTGGGTCTGCTGTACCGAGTTGTGCATCGACAGGTAAAGCTTTGACAGTTGGTAACAGTTGCATAATTCTACCCGTGGTTCGTTCGTCATGAAGGCCATGGGGCTGATCCTGATCGCGTCTTGAGAGAGCATCCGGCCGTTCGCAAGCATTGCCAGGTCGCCATTTCAGAGTGAAATTGAACTGATGTAATACATCGTAATACCTGGCCTGCCGTTCATTGAGTAGTCGCTTGGTCATGAAATAGTCTAAGTTCTTGTGGTCGCTCAAAATCGTGAATGGCTTTGCAACAGAACGCAGTTCAGCTTTCCACTCTTGCAGGCACGTGATTATGGCCAGCATCTCTTTGTCGTGTATCGGATAATTTGCTTCCGCTCCGCTCAGTCGCTTGGAGTAGTAAGCCACCGGCCTCAGCCGGCCTTGCTTATCAGCTTGAGACAAACATCCACCCAATGCATACCCAGAACAATCGGCTTCCACCACTGTGTCTCGCTCGGGATCCCATTGCGCTAGCACCGGCTCAGTTGAAAAAATTTGCTTTAGTCGTTCGAACGCCTCGTTCTCCTCAGGTCCCCATCTCCAAATTGAATCCTTCTTCGTCAATCTGGTCAGTGGTGCAGTTACCTCCGAAAATCTATCAACAAAGCATCGATAGAAATTTGCAAAGCCGAGAAACGATCGAACTCCTTTAACCGACGTAGGTGGCTTCCATTCTATGATGCTCTTGACCTTGTCAGAATCTACGGTCACCGAGTCTCCAGCTCTCACAATGTATCCTAGATACTTCACCTCTCGACATAGAAAATTGCATTTATCAATGTCCAAGTACAAACCAGCCTTCTCTAGCTTTCCCAAGATACTTTGAACCGTTCTCCAATGATCGGCCTCACTACCATTTGTGTATACTAGAACGTCATCCATGTATGCTGTCGCATCAACATCAAGGTGTCCTCGTAGTTGCTCATTAATATAACGCTGGAAGGTTGCAGGTGCATTCGCAAGACCAAATGGTGTAACAAGCCACTCAAAAAGACCATGGCGACATCTGAAGGCAGTCATCCATTCATCTCCCTCTCTGATTCTGATACGATGGAAAGCTGACTTCACATCTAGTTTCGTGAACCACCTAGCTTTTGAAAGTTGTCGCAAAGTTTCTTTAAATAATGGAAGGGGATACCTGTCTGGAAGAGTGACTGCATTCAGCCCGCGATAATCCACACAAAATCGTAGCCCTCCGTTTGGCTTTCTAGCAAAAAGTACTGGCGAGGCCGCCGGCGAACTACTTGGTCTGATCCATCCCTTACCCAGAAGATCTGTCAATGTTTTGCGAAGCACTAGAAGCTCCTCTCTTGACATACTGTAAAGAGGGCCCCAAGGCGGATGGACTGGCTTCCCATTCTCATTTCGGAGGTTTATAGCATGGTCAAGGTGATCTCGTGTAGGCGGTAGATCATTAGCGCCGCTATCGTCAGAAAAGAGGCGCGCGAACTTCTTCACAGGGCCCGGTAATCGGTCTCGAGCATCAGAGATCTTGAGACAATGTTTCGTACGGAGTGCCTTATTTATGTCGTCTAAGGAGGCTTTGCAGACGGGAACTCCCTTTTCCAGAAAAGATAATGCCTCAACAGCAGCACGTTTAGGCTCCTTTATTCCCCTTAGTTTTTGACGCCAGCGTCGAACACTGTAAACAGAACCACCGCTCTTCCTGAGTTCCAACCGCTGCTCTTTGGAATGAATTACTGCATCCTGGTCCTCTAACCATTTCTTCCCAAGTATGATCTGATGTGTACTGTGTGGTACTACATACAGCCACAATTTTTCAGTAACAAAGCCATCAAGGTCTATGGAGACCCAAGTGATACTTTTTACTATTGGCTTGTCTTGAGATGAATTTTCTGCTGTCTGAAGGGTTCGGGGAGAGATAGGTTTACATGGTAAACTTAGTAGGGCTGCTAATTCTTCATCAATGATACCTGAACACAGGCATCCATTGTCAATTAATGCTTGCACCATAGTGACGTCGTTAACTAATGCATTAACTAAAAATGGATTTGTATTCATCTTCGGTTCTTGTTCAGCTGCTGTCAAACTTTTTGAAAACTTTTTATCCAATATTATTGGCTGCACAAAATCTTTCCTTTCTTCTTGAATCGGTCTATCACTAGTAATGGCATTAATAAGGGGTGGCGATGTGTTCTTTCTCATTTCATGATCTGTAAGACAGCTCCCCATGACAGACCTCTTGGCTGACCAACCCATTGTTTCTCCTCGATCTCTTATTTGCTGAATTTCGATAGGACGGTTTATGAGTCTCGGAGAAATGCTATACGGATCCAATTCGTACACTGCCGGATCAATAGGACCTAGACCATCATCATACGGATCCACTTCGTACACTGCCGGATCAATAGGACCTAGACCATCACCATACGGATCCTCTTTCATATTTTTTTTATAAATATGTAAACTTTTCTTAGTCTTTCGTGGATTAATTGCTGGAAGAAGGTGGCACACCCTAGATTGACATCCCCGTTTCTCACATCTGAAGCAGCTTCCTTCTTCCCGAAGCTTAGCTAGCTGATCTTCTGATTTCCATGTTGCCCTAAGAAAATTGTTTTCCTCCATAGAAATGTTGCAATGATCCCACTTCATCTTTGCAAAGTTGATTGACTGCAATTCTGACTGACTGATTGACTGCAATTCTGACTGACTGACTGACTGACTGACTGACTGACTGCGATTCTGACTGACTGACTGCGATTCTGACTGCGATTCTGACTGACTGACTGACTGACTGACTGACTGACTGACTGCGGTTCTGAAGTTTGTGGAGAGAATTATAATATGTCACGGTTTCATAACAAAATGCATGGGCAATCTTGTAGGTACAGTATATTAATTATAATTCTCTAGAGAGAGAATTCTAACAGCTAGTGACTACAAATATATATAATCCAGAATACTCCTCCTTCCATAGGATTCCCTCCATGACCAGAATTGTTTGGATTCTTCGACAACTTCCAAGAAGATTCTGGATTACACCATTGATCTCATTGCCTGCGCTAGCTAGCGTAGGCTACAGGGATAATTAGGCTTAACAGCCGTTACAAGCATATTGAACTTTTTAGACTCCTAAAAAGCCATGAAATTCGTTGAATTCATTCTTAATCTCCGTAAGTCAAGAGAGAATCGAATTGAGGTTTTATATCGAGATAGGCTGCATAGGTATAATGACTAAAAATAATTCAAGATAGTCATGACACCTTTCTTGAAACATAAAACTGAAGAGAACCATCCATGAATTTGTCCCTTACTCTGAACAAATAGTCCAAGATTTGTTTATCGCTGAGTTTGACCATTTTATAATGTGTGAGCGACTTTACACTTATGCACAGCTAAGAAAGCTGTTACATCTAGAAAATTTCCTAGGACCATCGAGATTTGACGTAAGATTCCATGGTTTTTGCGGTAGAGTTCCAATACTTGTTGTCCTTCGCAGAATATTTCAGGCAGTTATTTTGCTGTGAGTTTCGGAATGATATTTGCCATTTCTTCCTGTATCCCATCTGTAAAAATAATATTCTTTCGGGGACCATGTGTATTCTGGCTTCAGAAGATGTCACATTCGCGAAGAACATTAGCTTTATTGACAGGTATCCTAAGTTCCTTGCATGAATTCTATATCTTGATTGAAGCCTTGGAATTTTCAACAGCTGTTAACACCATATTTTCACTGTATAAATCTGATAGCTCTCATTATAGATCCATATGAGCAGCCTATTCTCAAATGAGCAATGAGAGACCTGTGTAATTAATCGATCATGGAGGTAAATCATACTATCTTTAGCTTCTGCGTCGAAACTACGAAGTACTCGGCTAGCGGCGACTTATCTCGTTAATCAGTCGTAGAGCTGGTTTATCTGACCGACTAATCATCCTTACGCCTCCTACCATCACGATTCTAAAATTCTAACTAGTCTTGCAATCATCAAAAATATTTACTCCATTCAAAGTTCAGATTTTAGATGTTTCTCATGTTAGGATCACTTGTGAAAGCGAGTTTGTATCAGTCTAGGAAGCTGGTATTACGATAAGGGTCGTAGATAAGCAGATTCGTTTAGAGAGCTATAGCTACTTCGCCACGGACCCCCACAGAACAACTTCCTGAGGTGGCAACACCAGGAAAGCTCAAATATTCATGGGGAACTATTCTGAAATAACGGATTCCAGCTGCCGATATGTCTGGTCGCAAGCTAGGTGGTGGAAAGATACTCGGGAATAGGAAGTCTCTGGCGCCCGCACCTGTTCCTGATTCACACCAAAAAACATTGAGTGCAATCTCTTCGGCTACGAATTTATTCTCACCACCGGACTCAATTTCCACGGAGCAAAATGGGTTGCATGATCCTGATTGTGTCCAGGATTTGAGCCTTGCTGTATCGATGGCAAATGAAAGCTGCTCTGCATCGCGGGTCACACAGCTGTATTGTCCAATTTGTAATGAGGAAATGGTAGCAAGTCTTATGCCCTTGCAAAATAAATTTTAACTATTTATAGATGACATTGCTCCAGCTTAATCGGTATATCAAAATCTTCCGCGGTAGTGTAATAAATTTGACGAAAATAGGCATCTAGATGATAATCACCAGGAGTTACCGGAGGTCCAACAAGACGAAGTAAAAAACTGGTTTGATAAACAAGTCGTTAAAGCCAAATTATTTCAACCATTAATTGCCATAAATCAGAAATTAAAAGGACTTGACGTCTTTGAGTCAAATGCGCCTCTAACTTCTGCAGGTTTGTCGCCAAGCTTACAAACGGAGCATCTACGTTTATCACCTGAACCATCGAGATCAGACCCCGATGAAATAGTGAGCAGATCACATTGGCAAAAACCCGGGTATAATATCTATTGTCCAGGACCAACATGCCAGAAAAGACTAGGGTCAGTGAACGGATCGGTAAATTGCCGGAAATGTGGAAAGCTGTTCTGTGAATACCATACAATGTATCAGATGAAGCTCTCAAGATCAGCATCACATGAGCCAGTCAGAGGATTATGGTGTAGAGTTTGTGAGATTTGCTACAAGTCAAGAGATGGATATAATGACTACAATGGGTTTGAAAGAGACCACTCAACGCAGTTTTTAGAGAAAAGAAGGAAAAAGGTGGATAAGGCTAATTTAGAAATTTCTAGGCTTGAGAAAAGGCTCACTAAGCTCACAGAACTTTTAGTTTTATCCCCCGAAGACTTGTCAGAAAGTAGAGGTGTTTTGTCAATTTCGGGTCAAAATCATCAGCGGAAAATGATTGAGCAGTCAGTGGTGACTTGGGAGGAAGACTGGAAAGTTCCTAGATGCCCCTTCTGTCTCAGACTTTTTGGAACGTGGTCATTTAGGCGACATCACTGTCGCTTGTGTGGTTGCGTAGTGTGTGCTGATTCCCAGACAAATTGCTCCTCGACTGTAAGCTTGAACCTATTAGCTGGTATGTATCACAAAAACTTTGAACCTAACTGCTCAAGCTTTAATGGTCTCAGAAGCTGACCAGTCGTAGAAAAATATCAAGATATTACTTTGGACATACGCATGTGCCGTAATTGTCATTCGACATTATTTCGTAAAAAAGATTTTAAAGCTGAAGTTTTACATAAACCACCAGATCAGCGAGCTTATGAAAATATTATTGAGTTTGAGAAGGGTATTCACTCACTTCTACCAACTTTTCAACGTCTTGTTATTTCTATCCAAGATCCCAAGGTTGTACCATCGCATGCGCAGCTCAATGAAGCTTCAAAGGTGAGAAAGCGTCTGATGGATTCCTTCGGAAAGTATGATCTGGCTGCAAAACGAATAAGAGATCTTCCATCAAATAGTCCCGTTCAACTCAAGCTCCAGCTATCCATCTACCAACAGTGCGCCAACTTTTTGAATATTCATATGCTTCCCCTCAAAACTCTACCCAAAATTCTAAAGCATGCCTCGCCACATGATTCAGACACGTTACGTTCCAACTTTGCTCTGGATAATATTCGAAAAGAATATCGTGACACATCTTCGCAAATTTCATCGCTCTCGGCTACAAGTGGAGTTGAGGCGGAGGAAAGACAGCTAACAGAGCAGCTAATAATTATGGAGGAGCAGGGTTTCATGCTTCGTGAAATGTTGATAGCCGCACGCAAAGCTCGTCGATTCGATGAGCTTGCCGCACTGGGTGAGAGTATTGCCGAAATGGAGCGGGAGTGTGATCGCTTGCGGGGCTTATTAGGAAATTTGGATTGCGGCAATTTGTAATCAAATTTAACAATCATCAAGCAGTGATGCCATGAGAGGGAAGAAAGTAACTCACACTCGTGATTCGGGGAAACCTAGGAACATTACATATTCTAGAAGAACATAGAATTATGAGTCGCTGCATTAGAGATATTTAGATGGCGTTGGATTGGCATCATTTTGCTCTAGGCTCAACTGATGAGATATAGACTTGACGTGTACCAAAAATTTACATGGGCAGTAACTTGTGGTCGTTAATTGTGCCTGACCTATATCGCATGGCGGCTAATAGCGTTATCAGATATTTTGTGCTTAAAGCGAATTATGATGATGTCATGGACAGCTAGGTTTGGTGATGATTGTGTACCAAACATACTACGGCGATTTCAGTGAACTGAAAGTTGCGACAAATTCAATTTAAAATCAGTTAAAATTTCAGACTAGTAGCCTGGTTAAAGATTAAGTAAAGAGCCTGTACAAGGAAAAATTTTAGAACATAGTGTTACAGTAATGCCTACCTGATGAGTAGTCGTTAAACAATCAACCCTTCTCCTTATACACTTCAATGCATACTACCAATGACAAGTTGCTTCATCTACAACAATAGCTCCAAGGGGTTCTCGATAACCTTTTTAAATTCCTTCATCCACTCTCCGCCAACCGCACCGTCAACCACCTTGTGATCAAAGCTACCAGTGACTGCAATCTGGTCATCCCAGCCTACTTTTGGCCCTTCTTCTGGTGATTCCTCTATCGGAATAGCTACTTTTTTTGTTGTGCCTACGGCTAGGATACCAGCTTGAGGTGGGTTAATAACTGCTGTAAAGCGCTCAACAGCTGGGTTCATGCCCATATTGGATATCGTGAATGTCCCTCCCTGGTATTCATCTGGTTTTAATTTGCCTTCCCGAGCTCGTTTGCCTAGATCTTTAACTTGAGACGAGATAGACTCTAAACCTAGGCCTTCGACAGATTTGACAATAGGGGTCATGAGACCGGCTGGTGTCGCGACGGCAACCTGAAATTTTGACATTAGCTTTAGTGTTAGTAATGGGACGGTAGCATACGCTGATATCGACAGAATCATATTGGCGTATAAACCCATCTCTCCAACTAGAGTTCACAGTGGGTACTTTTCTACAAGCGATAGCGGCAGCTTTGATCAAAAAGTCATTGACTGAAATTTTGTATTTTCCATTCGCCGTTGTGTTGAGGGCTTCTTTGAGTTTGAGAAGTTTGGTGACGGAAACTGTTGCTGTCACAAAAAAATGAGGATTTTGGTTTACAGATTCTGTAAGGCGGTTTGCGATAGTCTTTCGCATAGAGCTAATCGGTGTATCTACATAAGAAGATATATTTGTTGTTGTGAGACTCGGAGTAGCAGGTTGTGAAGCCTTCTTCACATCTGCCTCGGTGATCTCTCCACCATGTCCAGTGCCTTTCAGGCCGGAAATGTTGACGCCAGATTGGTGGGCCAATCTCACAGCACCTCGGCTAGCGTTTGGAATTCGGTCTAGAGCTGGCTGTAATCTTCCTCCGATCGATGTAGTGGTATCGACATTGGAGTGCTCTTGCTTTGGTGCCGCAGTTTCTGCTTGAGCTTCGGTGGGCTTAGGACTTTTAGCGACTTCCTTTTTAAGAGGTGGAGGCGCTTCTTTTTCCCCGCCAGCATCTTCTATTGTGAACGACTCGAAAGCAGATACATCTTTTTCGTCTTCGACCATGACAGCAATGGGCTAGCTACGTTAAACTGATATTGGGTTAAGACATTTAAGCACTTACATTTCCCACGGCGACATCTTTTTCACCAGATCCCCTGAGTATTTTGGCTATTACACCTTCCTCCTGAAATTCAAAATCCATTTGTGCTTTGTCTGTCTCAACCTCAACAAGAACATCACCTGGTGATATTGTGTCTCCGGTTTTCTTTTGCCACGATCCGATATTCCCGACTGTCATAGTAGGAGAAAGTGCAGGCATCGTGATGACAGTGTGTGGAGGAAATGATTTGGAAGCATAATTTCGAACAATTTGGGAACAGATAGATGGATAGAGCGCACGACGTCTTAAAACCGTGGTGAACATGTCGAGTTTGAATAATAGATAATGCGTAATTCAAAGTTTGGAGGATTGAAAAGCTTTTTCAATCAATTGCAGCCGTGACTAAGAGCCGAATTTGGTGGCAATATGGAGTTGATTACTAGCAAAACCAAAAGGCAGTCTGGTAGGCCATACAGACAAAAGGCGAGCTCCTATGATTGGATCAATAACCGCCTCGTCCCATGCGTTAATTCTAACAAATAGGGTAATTGATCAGGGAACAGTGCACGGGACACTTGTGCAACTCGCTGTGAGATAGAAAAAAGTCTCACATGTGTATACAGGGAGAGCATGAAGCGTGGCACTGCCATCACGAATACAGTTGAGCTTTGGCATTTCAACCACAATTCCTAAGAAAGTCACGAATGGAATTCGACATACTAATCATACCACCATGAGCTCTCTTGTCTTCGTGGTAACAGCTCTTGAAGCTATCGCGAACTCAAAAGAGGCGCAGAAGAGTGCGCCACTCATCGCTGCTGTCCAGCAAGCATTAAAAGAAATTAAGGAAAACGAACCTCAATTACCAGATCCTGATATTATATTTGCGCCTTTACAGCTAGCTACAAAAGTGGGAAGCATTTCTTTGTGCACGACTGCTTTGGACTGCATCGGCAAGCTGATTAGCTATTCTTATTTCTCTGTTTCCTCGCATCAAAGCTCCGATAAAGAAACCCTCCAGAACCCTCTCATTGAGCGAGCAATTGATAATATATGTGACTGTTTTCAGGGTGAAACCACAGCAGTTGAGATTCAGCTGCAAATAGTTAAATCACTACTAGCTGCAGTGCTGAATGATAAAATAGTTGTGCATGGTGCAGGACTTCTGAAGGCCGTTCGACAAGTCTACAATGTGTTTTTACTTTCAAAAAGCAGTGCTAATCAGCAGGTTGCGCAAGGAACTCTTACGCAAATGGTCGGAACAGTATTTGAGAGAGTAAAGACAAGGCTTGACATGAAAGCAACTCGACTAAACCTTCTCAGATTGAAAAATAAAACAAACAATTCCAGCGAATTAACTGCTAACAGTACCGACTTAAACGATGCAAGCACAGCTGGAGACGTTGAAGACTCAATTGATGAGAACGTTGCCTATGAAACTAGATCTATTGAAGAAGGCCCAAAACTTACACTCAAGGATCTAGAAAACTGTAAGAGTTTCGATGATTCTTTGATGGGAGAAGGGCCGACTATGGTTACGCAAGTAAAATCTCGAAACTCGCACCAAACACTTGCGGAGCATGTTACTCCTGAGGAAGATATCAAAGATAGCATAGATTCTGATGAGGACGAGGATGAAGTTTATATCCGAGATGCATATCTAGTTTTCCGTTCGTTCTGCAATTTAAGTACTAAAGTTTTACCTGCCGACCAGCTTTACGATCTGAAAGGGCAGGCCATGCGATCAAAGCTGATTTCACTCCACCTGATTCAAACGCTGCTGAGCAACAATATCTTAGTCTTCACCTCCCCATTATGTACAATTAAAAACAGCAGAAGCAACGAGCCAACAGGATTTTTACAAGCCATAAAGTTTTATCTCTGTCTCAGTATCACACGAAATGGTGCTAGCTCAGTAGACAAGATTTTTGAGATCTGCTGTGAAATTCTATGGCTTATGATGAAATACATGAGGGCCTCTTTTAAGGTCAGTAATGAATCCCCTAGCTTATAAATTAATCTAATGTGTTGATAGAGAGAAATAGAAGTATTTCTGCATGAGATATACTTAGCCCTTTTAGAAAGAAGAAATGCACCAATAGCCCAAAAACTATATTTTATGGGAATACTGCAAAGACTCTGTGGAGATCCACGTGCCTTAGTCGAGACTTACTTAAATTATGACTGTGACAGGAACGTCGACAACATGTTTCAAACTCTAATTGAAGATCTTTCCAAAGCAGCAAGTGTTACTGTAATAGTATCTCCTCAGTTGCAACAACAGCATGAGGAAAAAGTTGCCAAAAGTGGAATGTACTGGCTAGAATGGCAATCTCGGGGTGCCTTACCGCCATCACTATCAACGTCACATATAACCGATCGCCATGCAACATCTGAAGATGAAGTTCCAAAAGAGTACATAATGAAGCGACAAGCCTTATACTGTTTGGTTGAAGCATTGCGATCTCTGGTAAACTGGTCTCAGCAAGGAATTGCTGATATGGCAGTTGGCCTTGAAACAGAAGGTAGAAATTCCGAAGATTTACGGAATTCTCTCGACCAGACAATTAACGATAGTTCTTTGAGGACTGGTACCGCAGAAAATAATGTCCCATCAACTCCAGTTGTAGACGACGATCCAGAGCAGTTAGGTAAGGAGAAGCAAAGAAAAACTGCCTTGAGTAATGCAATTCAGCAATTCAATTTTAAACCCAAAAGAGGCATAAAGTTATTGATTTCTGAAAAATTCATCCAAAATGATAGCCCGGAAAAAATCGCACAGTTTCTGTTGTCTGAAGAGAGACTTGATAAGGCTCAAATAGGTGAGTATCTTGGTGAAGGAGAAGATCTGAATATTGCCATCATGCATGCTTTTGTTGACTGCATGGACTTCACAAAGCGCCGCTTTGTTGACGCACTACGACAATTTCTCCAATCTTTTCGGCTTCCTGGAGAAGCTCAGAAAATTGATCGATTCATGTTGAAATTTGCAAACCGATATGTCACAGGAAACCCTAACGCTTTCGCCAACGCAGATACAGCTTACGTGCTAGCGTATTCGGTGATTTTACTTAATACGGACTTGCATAGCTCTAAAGTAGCAAAGCGTATGACAAAGCTAGATTTCATCAAAAATAATCGAGGTATAAATGATAACGCAAATTTACCTGACGAATATTTAAATGGTATATATGACGAAATAGCCAATGAGGAAATAGTTTTAAGGAGTGAGAGAGAAGCTGCAGCAGCAATGGGTGTAACGCCTATTCAACCTATTGGAATTGCGGCTGGTTTTGGCCAGGCCTTGGCAACAGTCGGGCGAGACTTGCAACGCGAAGCATATTTACAGCAATCTGAGGAAATATCGCAAAGGTCTGAACTATTGTTCAAAGACTTATTTCGTAATCAGCGTAAAAATGCTGCCAAGAATGAAGCAAATAAATTCATTCCAGCAACCTCCTTCAAGCATGTAGGCCCTATGTTTGGTGTAACGTGGATGTCTTTCTTTTCAGGCTTGTCTGGACAAATGCAAAATTCGCATAATATTGAGACAATCCGATTATGTATGGAAGGTATGAAACTAGCTGTGAGAGTAGCCTGTGTCTTTGATTTAGAGACACCTCGGGAAGCATTTGTTTCAGTGTTGAAGAATTGTACAAATCTGAATAATCCAACTGAGATAATGGCAAAAAATATCGAAGCTCTGAAGGTATTGCTTGAGATAGGACAAACTGAAGGAGATCTTTTAAAATCGTCATGGCGAGATGTACTAATGTGTGTCAGTCAGCTCGATAGGCTCCAACTTATATCAGATGGTGTTGATGAAGGCTCGATTCCTGATGTTTCAAAATCGAGGATCGTAGCACCCAGTGATTCACTCTCTGAATCTCGAAAATCCACTCAATCCTTAAGACCTCAGCGTACGCGAATAAGATCGACTGCTGCTAGCTCCAGCATACTAATGAAAATCGCCCTAGAAGGTAGATCAGATGAATTTATTAAGGGTGTTGATAGAATTTTCACCAGTACGGCAAAGCTATCTGGAGATGCCATTGTTCATTTCGTGAAAGCGCTAACAGAGATAAGTTGGGAAGAGATAAAAATATCAGGACAAAATGAATCCCCGAGAACCTACAGCCTCCAAAAGCTAGTCGAAATCAGCTACTATAACATGACAAGAGTTAGATTTGAGTGGACCAACATCTGGGGTGTCCTAGGTGAACACTTTAATCGAGTTGGCTGCTACAATAATACAGCTGTTGTTTTCTTCGCTCTAGATTCATTGAGGCAACTTTCCATGCGCTTCATGGAGATTGAAGAACTACCGGGCTTCCAATTTCAAAAAGATTTTCTCAAACCGTTCGAACATGTCATGTCTAACAGTACTGTCATAGCGGTCAAAGATATGGCTCTACGTTGTCTAATCCAGATGATTCAAGCAAGGGGAGAGAATATACGGTCTGGCTGGCGGACTATGTTTGGCGTATTTACTGTCGCTGCTAAAGAACCTTATGAGGGTATCGTGAACCTTGCTTTCGATAATGTTAATCAGATTTACAAAACTCGATTTGGTGTCGTAATTTCCCAAGGTGCATTCGCTGATTTGATTGTCTGCCTGACAGAGTTTTCTAAGAACATGAAATTTCAAAAAAAGGGTCTTCAAGCACTGGAAACTCTGAAGTCCATAATTCCGACGATGTTGAAAACATCAGAGTGCCCAATATCACGTCAAGCTAAACTAAACCCGGTCACCTCTCTCAAGTTGGATGAAGCTCCAAGTGCTGAGTCAAGGACTTCTCGAGAAGAAGCCTTTTGGTTTCCAGTTCTTTTTGCGTTCCACGATGTGTTAATGACTGGTGAAGATCTAGAGGTCAGGTCTAATGCACTTAATTACCTCTTTGATGCTTTAATCCGCTACGGAGGTGATTTCCCTCCGAACTTTTGGGACACACTCTGGCGGCATCTACTATATCCGATATTTATGGTTCTTAAGTCAAGTGCCGAACTTTCTGATATTGCTAGTCAGGAAGAACTTTCTGTCTGGCTATCAACCACCATGATTCAGGCGCTCCGTAATGTGATAATCCTCTTCACCCACTATTTCACCGCATTAGAGTACATGCTGGATCGATTTTTGGATCTTCTAGCTTTATGTATCACCCAAGAAAACGATACAATTGCAAGGATTGGCAGTAACTGCCTTCAGCAGTTAATTCTTCAAAATGTTACGAAATTCAAGCCCGAAAACTGGTCTCAGATAGTTGGTGTATTTGTTGAACTCTTCGAAAGAACCACCGCATACCAATTATTTACTGCAACTACTACATCTGGAGCAAGTACCGGAAGAGAAAGTATATCACTCGCAGAAGACTTTACTGATATCAAGTCGTTACGCATAAATGGGACAGGCTCAAGTACACTAGACGTAGAAGGGTTAACAGACCAAGAGTCCAAATCCCAGTCTAGATCTAGTAATGATCTTGAAGATTATAAGCCCCAATCCGAGCTACAACAACGACCGGTTGTGGTAACGGCTGCTCGTCGGAAATTTTTCAACCAGATTATAACCAAGTGTGTGCTACAGCTACTCATAATTGAGACAGTAAATGAATTATTCTCGAATGAGACTGTGTATGCTCAGATTCCTTCGCCGGAACTTCTACGCCTAATGTCACTGTTGAAGAAATCCTTTCTTTTCGCCAGAAAATTTAACGAGAACAAAGAGCTACGGATGCGATTGTGGCGTGAGGGGTTTATGAAGCAGCCTCCTAACTTACTCAAGCAAGAGTCTGGAAGTGCAGCAACATATGTAAGCATATTATTGCGTATGTATCACGATGAAGGAGAAGAGAGAAAACGTAATAGAGATGACACAGAGAATGCACTTGTGCCTCTTTGTGCCGATATTATCCGTGGCTTTACTCTACTAGAAGAGGATAGTCAACAACGTAATATTTTTGCATGGCGACCAGTTGTTGTCGAAGTTCTAGAAGGATATACCAATTTTCCGGCTCAGGGGTTCGAAAAGCACATAAATACGTTTTACCCCCTAGGTGTTGACTTATTAAGTCGCGAACAAGGAGTCGAAGTACGCATTGCCTTGCAAGCAATGTTACGAAGAGTTGGTGAAGTGCAATTGGGAATACCCGAATTGAGGAGGCCGAGTACCACAATGTCCCCTGAGATTACGAGTCGCAGGTCGAGTCGAAGAGACTAAAGATACAGAGATTTCTATTCCCCTCCATCTTCAGTTTTCCGCAGGATCCGGTTGAGCGAAATTGGAGTTTAGGAAAATCAGGACCCTAGTTAGAATTTTGGCTTTATGTAATATTAGACTGATGAGATAACGTTTTAAGCTGGTCTTCAGGCCCTCCATGACAACTATATCTACCTCATGCACCAAATTAGGCTCGCTGTATCACCTGGTTCTAGTAAGGATGCTCAAGTGATTATTTTATAAACCTCTAGGCTACCTTGATCAAGACCTCAAGTATAAAGGGTTCAACAACTCGGTATCAATGATAAAGTCTATATGCTCTTTGCAGGAACTGCCATGTTTTCACTGGGTCAAAATATTTTTAAATGTCAAGTGGCTAGGAATATAGTTTATGGACATGGAGTTGGATTAGAATACTCACATTGAATTGACGTTTATTTTTTAATTATATTGTCTATTCTCAGCCTGATAATTTAGATATGTATGTCTTTCCTGCTTACAGGCTTGGAATACCTATGCCAGTATTATATTCCCTCCTCTGCCTCCCAGACATCTCCCCTCAATCAGTACCAGCCCTCGCAAGTCCTCTTTCAATTATTTATTTATTTATAATATTTACAATGTTAAACGTCGTGCCTGCGCACAACACGTGAGTTCCTCACGTACCGGTTAGCCCTGTCTAAATTAAACTACCCGACGTGTTGGCGCCCTCACAGACCCACCAAAGCAAACAATAGCTAGGATTTTATCATCCTACGCTCGAAGATTATTGTGTACATGAAGGTCGTCCGCCCAACAAATCTCATGCTATGCTGTTGGTACTAAATCAATTAAAGATTTTACAAAACAAAATAAAAAATAAAAGGAGAAGATTGTTTACATCAGATCGTGATTTCGTTCGAATCAGACTGTTCGTTGTGCCCTTTCGAAGAAATCTGTGACACGCACCCAATTCTTGAATGCATCAACTCCCTCCGCCGAAGCAAGTGCCCGGGATACGCTGGGATTAGAGTTCTGTGCCCTGTGGAGCTGAGCTTGATATTGCCCGAGGTGGCAATAGAAAAAGTGGTTGGGGAACTTCTCTTCTCTGCATGTGCAGGTTAGAATGGCGTTTTCATGCTGAAACCGTCGGTGGTAGTCCGCGAAGTCGCCATGACCGGACCGTGAAGCTAGTAGATATCCTAATGCACGTTGCCCCAGACGGGCGAGCTCAACGGTGATTTTCGTATTAGGGCCAATTCCTAGTTCTTTGTATCTAGAAGGGGCATTTTCTGTCCAATATAGTGCGACTGAAGCCTCGTATCGGGCTTTGACTTCTCTCCTTGCCCTCGCAATGGAGAGCTCTAAGTTTGGAGCTGGAGCTGCACAGGCAGTTTGGCAAGCGTGTCGGCTGCTTCGTTCCCGAGAATACCTGCGTGGCCCGGGCACCATCGGATAGCCACTTTCCCAGCCGTCGTATTTTGACCACGTGATCTTCTTTTCCAGTTCATTGCGAGCTTGCGAAAGGTTAGTATTTTTGCTGAGCTGGACGCTGTGGGCGTATCCAAGAGCAGATGGATGGCAGCCTCCTGGTTATGAAGGCAGACAGTGACGTTAGAGGCATAATAGGCCAGTGGGTTGCGAAGAGCTACGGCAAGACCTTCAGTGGCCCTGGCAATTTCTGCATCATACACTTCTGCCGAGTTTCCGAGCGGGAGTGATCCTCGTCCAATCTCTTGCGTAAGACCTCGGTAGATGACATAGCCCGCACCTGCTCGGTCGTCTATTAGAGCTCCGTCTGAGAATATGAAAAAGTCAAGAGTAGGTCGTGTAGCCTGCCACTGTTTGAAGGGATTTGATCCCAGGAGTCTACCTACTGCACCAATTTCGATGAGCTTTTCTTCACGGGATGACGACCACGGTGGAGGGATGATGTCCTCGGAAAGTTCTGGCGAAATTATTTGACGGATCCAGGACATGCGGATAGTGTTCCAACGCCTACGAAGAGGATGATAGGGGTCAGCTGCAGCAATTCGAACCGCTAGACGGTTGTGAATTCTGTTAAGCCACGTCTGAGCTGGGCCCCAGCCAGCTTCACGTAGAAGTGCTGCTATTGGTGTAGTACGGTAGACTGGGAGAACCGCCAATGCCGCGTCGTTCATCCTATGTTGGACTTGCAATATAATTTTTTGGGAAGTCTGTTTAGAGTACCAAGTCTCGGCCCCGTAGAAAAGGGTCGCAAAGGCAGCACCTTGTAGAGCTTGTCTTAGAAAAAGAGGGCTTATTCCTCGAGTGGTTGTGGACAGTCTTTTCATATGGCTCGTGATAGCTAGAGACTTCCGGCAAGCCTGTATAGTATGATATTTGAACCGAAGAGCACTGTCGAAAAATATTCCAAGCCAGCGAGTGTGGTCATTGGGCGTTATAGTTGTCCCTCCAATACTAAGAGTAGGCTCTAGTGGTGAGCCTCGCTCCCGGTGAAAGAATTGCAGCTCAGTCTTAGGAAGTTCGAAACTAATTCCGGTAGTAAGTCCCCATGCTATGGTGCTGTCTAATTTCTCCTGGAGTTTGGGTGCACACTCGAAAAGGGAGGGCGCAGACGCAAAGAGGGCAATATCATCTGCATAGCCAAAGCGGCCAGTGGAAAGACGTAGTGCCTCTTCCATAGCAAGAAGAAAAAGAATTGGGGATACAGGTTAGCCCTGTGAGAGACCACAGTGAGTTTGGAAGGGCGGATAGATAGTATCTTCAATAGAGATTGTGGATTCCCGCTCTTCCATGAAAGATGCCACCCAGCGAACCGCGTTCGGTGGCCTCTTTCAATCATACAGTTTGGAGTATATCTGTAGAACTGGCGTAATCACGTTTAATTCTAGTTTTAATTATGTAATTATATAAATACAGCACCGCCATCTCCTTAGATATAAAGAAAAGACATAATTCATATATACTGACATCAGACCCCTTTGTTTGGATCCAATCGTTACCTGTGATACCAACTTATCGACATTGAACTTGTTGTCGATATTGTATATGTATGTCTGTTATCACAGACATTGGGAATAATTCATGAGATTGCTTAATGAGTGGCTAGATTTGATTCCGATATAATATTGTAGAAGACTTGTCCCAACTATCAGAGGGCTACAACGTCTTTATCTATCTACAGGTAAATTCCCCATATTACAACCACGCTAGCCATACAGGACGTAGCATGTAAAGCCTGATTCTTATCATCATTTTGGGTTTGAGGTTTACCGTGCATATCCTACTCGAGTCGCATGTCTGACTACTATGCGACACGGTTAGGTATCAATTTAACAACCCACACCAAAACCGAAACTATTCACAACCCTGATGATGACCCCATGAATAATTGGAACAGTAGCCTGCAACATAGCACACTTAGGCTAGACATCGTTGACCAGAACCTAATCCGAACACCAACACATACATTTAGGGGATTCCTTTGCCCTTCATTATCTCTTCCCTCCAGCCAATGAAACGATGGCCATTTGCGGGTGTATGGCAGCCGGGAAAAATCTCAAAAACCACTGGGTACGGAGCTCTCTATTATGCTCACCTATGTAGTTTGGTAGATCTAGTAGCTGGTGCATAGGTAGTTATTATGGCAGCGTGGCATTGTGGCGCATGAAGGAGATCCAGTCTCTACATAACGACATTACAAGAAGTAATATGTGCAGTATTATTATTATTACAATAAGTCCTAAGCTAAAACCCTTTATCCACGATGGGTGAAGGACCGGTGGGGCCGGCAAGGTTCCTTATAATTTTTCCTACAGCCTAACTCGTTCCCACCTCGTGAATAGCTGCCAAAAGTGCAGCTGATTAAACAGAAACGAAAAAGAAAAACCCCAAAAATCAAATAACTCCGAAAGACAAAAGATTCCTTCATGTTGGACCCAAGCAATGCTCTCCTCACACATTCCATCGTCCGTCACACCTTCCAATTGACAAATTAACCCATTCTCCGCTGAGAGCAAAAGATGGGTTAGCAGGCACCTTCGATACAACCGTTATCCTGCTATAAGTTAGTAGATTCCTATTAGAGGCATCATCGAGGTTGCTGTTCCCTCAAGCTTCTTCTTCAGATTCCAGCACTCCGAAACCTGCTTCCTCGGCCATCGAGACATCCTTCGCCGCGGCGGTGATCGCCTCTTCGGCCCTCTTGGCTGCTGCTCGAGCTCGAGCTACCTTCGCAAATTTCTCTTGCTCGATGTGGCGGATCCATGCGAGCTGCTCTTTTGTCACCGGTCCGGACTTTCTGAGTCTGAATTGACAGTCCCGGTAGTCTGATAGGTGGGGTCCCCCACAGTTGCGACATCTGGTGGGGGCCTTGCACTCTTCTTCAGAATGCGTTTTTGAGCCGCGATTCGGACAGGCCGGAGCGCGGGAGCAGTCACGAGTGTCATGGAAGCCGAAGTAGCGGTAGCACTGCTTGGTTCTTTGACGAAGCTGTAGCTTAGTTGCCAAGTCAGACTCCTCATAGAGGCGGAAGCCCGCACGAGGGGCGAAGTCCTGAGGGAAAAGAGAAACCCAGGTGCGAAAAAGTGTACTGGGTTGGTGGGTTCAATGACGTCGCACCTTTGTTTTGTTTATTATTTTACGTGGTACTAGCTCACAACACACACAATTTTTTGAAATTCGAATTTTCGAATCTTCACCTTTTCCCCCTCTCCCTTCCTCTCGCGCTCGTCGCATTCTATCAAAAAATTATCATCGACTCACTGGCATTTTCACCATGCCACCTGTTCGAAAAAAGCGTCCCAACGCCAAGTTGGATAACACGAGAGTCCACTCGAGGGCTCTTGAACAAGTACCTGGCCTTGCCCAGTCTCCGAAATGCGCGGAGATGAGCAAGGGCTCAATCAAAGGGAAGGAAAAAGCCCTACCCGCCGTCACTGAACCCGATACTGACATGATCGGGTCAGTCAAAATTGTTGAGGAAATTCCTCAGCGACCCTCCGTCCCCCACGGGATTGGAGAATCGTCCAAACCTC